ATCATTGTTAATGTCAGGTGGATATTGGCTAAAAGCAGAGACTACCAGAAAGATGTTTACTTGTGTTTTACTGACTATGCAAAGGCATCAGACTGTGTGACTCATGACAAACTATGGAAAGCATTCTGAAGAAAGGGAATTCTAGAACACTTAATTATGTTCATGAAGAATCTGTACACAGACCAAGAGGCAGTTGTTGGAACAGAACAAGGGACTAGTGGATGGTTTAAAATCAGGAAAGGTGTGCCTCAGCATTGTAATCTTTGGCCATATCTATTCAGTCTGTATTCTGAGCAAATCATCTGAGAAGCTGGATTATATGAAGAAAAATGTGCCATCAGAAGCGGAAGAAGCTTCATTAACAACCTGAGGTATACAAGTGATACAACCTTGTTTGCTGTAAGCAAAGAGGACTTGAAGCGTAAAGACCAAAGATGATTATTTGCGGTATGGATTACAATTCAATGTAAAGAATACAAAAATCCTCACCACTTGATAATAAACAACATCATGATAAATGTAGAAAAGATTGAAGTTGTCAAGGATTTCATTTAACTTGGACCACAATCAACACTCATGGAAGCAGCAGTTAAGAAATCAAAGGATGCATTGCATTAGGCAAATGTGCTGCCAAAGACCTCTTTAAAGTGTTTAAGAGCAAACATGTCACTTTGAGGACTGAGGTGTGCCTGGCCATGGGATTTTCCATTGCCTTATATGCATGCGAAAGCTGTGTGCATGAACAACGAATGAGGAAGACCATGGAAGACTTGAATACATTTGAATCATGGTGTTGGCAAATGTTGACAGTACCACAGACTGCCAGAAGAACAAGCTAATCTGTCTTGGAAGAAGTACAGTCAGATGCTCCTACAGCCAGGATGTACTTTGAACATGTTATCAGGAGGGACCAGTCCCTGGAGGAAGCCGTCATACTTGGAAAAGTGGAGGGTCGGTGAAAAAGAAGACCCCCAACACAATGGATTGACACCGTGGCTGGCGGTGTTTCGCTCTTTTCTGCACAGAGCAAGCAAGGAAGTCAACTCAATGGCCTCTAAGAACAACAAGGATGAAGGAGAGATTGTTTCTCTGCATTTTGAATAAGGCAAGTTGGGAACAGATGATCTCTTCTGGGTTCAGCCCTGTACGGGTGCCTCATTGCTCCACTACTCCCCACTCCATGACTCGGGCCACCCTGACTTCCTTGCTTGCACCTCCAGCTTAGGACTGTGCCCTTGCTGTTCTCACTGCCTAGAACCCTCTTCCCCACAGGATGCTCAGTTCACTCCAGCTGCAGTATTCCTTCAAACACCACCTTCTCCACAAAGCCTTCTCACCTCCATATTTAAGATCCAACTGCCATCCCCCAAGCCCTTAGCTTTTCCAGGACACATGTCCCTTCAAACCTGCCATATTATTTACTTTAAATATTGATATTGATTGTCTATTTTTACTTCTCCCACTGGAATTGTCAACTCCATGGCAAGGATCCTAGTCTCTCTTGGTCATTGGGTATCCCCAGTGGGCCTGGCTCAAAGAAGGAACTCAATTAAGATTTGTTTAATCAGTCAGCAAACGAAAGAATGGCATAGGATTTCATAACTCCTGTCCTGGGAAAAGTCATAAAAGGGATGAGGACTAACTCCACCATCAAAACCCACATATGCACACAGAAATGCCCAGCTCTCCCTGCCAAGGTTTCAGGACACACTTAACCCACACCTGGGTCTCCCCAGGACTGTGGGCCTTTAAAGAGGTCCCTCCTGCCCTAGGACCTGAGAGCTTGATCCCTGGTGGGAACTCTTCATGTACTCATTAACAAACACAAGCAGTGTGAAGCTCACCAAGGTACCGTCTGCCATCAGCCTTCCAGTCTTCTGCTAACCATCATCTTTGGGGCCTCCTCCCACACTGACCCTCTGTGTCCTGGGCTCCCAAAGAAGCTGGGGGTCTCCTTCCTCCACACAGATTCGCTGTCAATCCTGGTCACCGTCCATGAAACCTAAAGCCTGTTGCCATTAATTGGTGTGGTGCTGTGGGATAATACGCTAGAACAAAAGGTAAGTTTGAACCACAAGGTTGGTGGTTCAAACTTATCAGCTGCTCCATGGTTGCTATGAGTTGGAACCGACTTGACAGCACTTAACAACAATAAAGCAACATTTTACTTGCTTGTGCTATTAATGACGTTACCCAATGATTTCCACATTCCACTGGCTCACTTTTAGAGTTGGCATGTATGTGGAACCTTGCAGGGGTATGGATGTTACTTTGAGGACTAAGGTGTGCCTGACCTTAGTCATGGTATATTTAATCACCTCTGTAGCGTAGTGGTTACGAATCGGGCTGTGAACCGCAAGGTCAGCAGTTCTAAACTACCAGCTGCTCCACAGAAGAAAGATGAGGCTTTCTGCTCCCGTAAGATTTACAGCCTCGGAAACCCTGTTCAGGGTCGCTATGGGTTGGAACTGACTCGACAGCACTTAACAACAACATATGCATAGGAAAGCTAGACAATGAATTAAAAAGATGGAAGAATAATTGCTTAGTACCGTTGTGGAGTCTGCTCTGACTCACAGCAACCCTAAATTGGGTTTTCAAGGAGTGCTTGGTGGGTTTGAACTCCTTGTCCTGGGTTTGAGCCAGGTGCTTAGCCTACTGAACCACACCAGGACTCTGAAGAGTACAGAACGCATTTGGCTTATGGTGTTGGCGAAGAATATTGAATAAACTATGGACTGCCTGAGGAACAGACAAATCCATCTCGGAAGAAGTACAGCCAGAACGCTCCTTAGAAGGGAAGATGGGGCTCATTTCATCTTAACATACTTTGGACACGTGATCAGGAGGGACCAGGCCATCATGTTTAAAGTAGAGGGTCAGTGAAAAAGAGGCGAACCCTCAAAGAGATGGACTGGCACAGTGACTGCAACAATGGGCTGGAACAGGAACGATTGTGAGGAGGGCGTAGGACCAAAGAGTCAGCGCTGCCTCGAGGTCGTCAACAACGGCAATGGAACAGAAACGGCTCCAAAAGCCGATCACCAGGCCTTTCTCCGAGATACCTCTAGGGGCATTTGAACCACCAACCTTTCAGTTAGCAGTTGAGTGCTTAACAATCTGTGCTCTGGACCTGAGGTTGCCATGAGTAGGTGTAGACTACAACTGGAAACATCTCCATGATCCAGGTTTGTTGCTGCATCCTGGGCACATAACAGACACTTGCTACAGATAAATGATGGTCATAGGGACTCAGAGGTGTCCCTCAGAACATGTGGCTTCCTTGGGGCATCAGGGAGAAGAACACCCCTAACTCCAGCCCTGGGACAGGGGACTGGGAATTGGGGTTCCCTCTGCCCAGGTCCCCAAGGATTCCCTCAATTCCCACTCCTTCCACAGCCCGGCTTGCAGAGCTGGGGTGTGGGTCATCTCCCTTCCCAGGGATCTTGCCTCCGAGGGGTCCTAGTGGAGTCCTCCTGTGGGTCAGCAGGACAAACACTGGCCCACGTAAAGTTGCCAATGAAACATGACACCAAAGCCCACCGTGGGGGGAGCACCTTTATTGTCAGAGCTACTGCCTGTGGTTGCCTCCTTGTGAAGACAGAGGTTGGCCAAGGGAAGGCCGGCTTCAGGGTGGGACAGTCAGGGCCCTGTGGGACCAGCCCACAGCCTCACACAAGCCCCAGGTGGTGGGAGTCGAGCCGTCCAGGCTGTGTGAGGACACATGAGGGGCGCTAGCACCTTTGGGTTTGCTGCCGCAACACAGAGTGGGCAGAAAAGAGCATCCGGTGTGGGCTGGGCCATGAATAAATCGTGGTCCAAGCGGAGCCTTGAAGGATGAGGTCTGGGCTGCTCAGGATGCAGGTGGAGCCAGGCTGCCTGGGAGCATTTCTCCCTAGCCGGACTGGGCTCTAACTGCTTTCCTTTCTCTGGGTTGTCTAGGGGACATTGGACTTGCTGAGTCTCTAAAGATATCCTCGACTCGATGGCACCCAACAACAACAAGAACAACAGATATCCTGGTGTGGCGCTGTGAGTTAATGCGCTGGACTGCAAAGTCAGTTTGAAACGCAAGGTTGGCAGTTCAAGCTCACCAGTCGCTCCTTGGAAACCCTATACAGGGTCGTTATAGGTCAGAGGCTGAAGAGGGACAGGGCGCTGGAAGCCCCCATCCCCTGACATCACTCTTCAGGGTGTGTGGTCCCATTAAACCCTCCTTCCTTTGGCTATCAGCGGGGGAGGGGTCTGGCTGCAGCTGTGCTGGGGGGCTCAGTGAAACAGGGAAGCAATCTGGTTCAGGTCTTTATACCTTATACGGTTCTCTAGTCCACAGAAGGGTCAAGGGTTCATCCAGGGTCTCCCTGGCCTTGGAGAGTAGCTACGGGCTAGGCCTGTGGAGCTTTGGGGAAGGGGCTGAGGAACGGGGGCTCAGGCCTCAGTGACCCAGAGTGTGCTGGGCAGACCCCGAGTCTCCCACTAGCCGGAGGGAGCATCTGCTTTGTGCCCTCCTCATAAGAGGAGGGAGCTGGCAGGGTAGAGAGAACATTGGAGCTGAGAGGTCTGGGTTCAAATCCTGACGGGGCTGTGGGCAGGTTATTTGTATTCTCTGAGCCTGTTTCCTCCCCTCTGCAAAGTGGGAATAGTAAACCTACCTCCTAAGGATTAAATGAAACAAGATATGCAGAGCTCCTTGTGTAGCACCCCGGACTATAGCAAGGGCTGTTCTCATGGCCACCTTCCCGCCCACCCAGACCCCATCTCCAGCGGGGGTTGGGGAGGACAGAAGCAAGGGAAGGGTCTGCTGAGGGTGCTGATCCCCTCCAGACCCTGTCCCTGGAGGTTCCATATGTACGCAGGGCCCCCAGGCCCCGGAAGCCAATGTCCCTCACAACTGTTCCTGTCCAGAGTCCAGCCTTGGGAATTCTTCAGGAACCAGTTGTGGCCAGGCTTTAGGACTGGGTCTCCAGCCAAGGCTGGGGTTGTCCTGGAGAGCTGAGCTCTTACTTCCTTCCACTGGCATGGCCAGTATTCTTCTGCCCAGTAACTGGGCTAAGCAAGGCAGCAAGGGCACCGTCAGCTGGAGAGCCACCTCGCTTCATCTTGAGGTTAGCTCTTAGGGCGGCATCCTGACCAGAGCCCCCCTCAGGAGAGGCCAAGGGATCTGCAAGGAAAGCAGGAGGGTGGGCTGGACAAAGAGCTTCTGGGACACTCAGAGGCTTCCAGACCCTGGCTGACCCTGTGGTTGCATTGGCAGGGCAAAATAGCTGGGGGCTTTTGGGTCCTCACACACTCATACATTCACCCATTAATGCATGGTTCCACCCATCCATCCATGCATCCATCCCCCCATCCATGCATCCATCCATCCATCCACCCATCCATCCATGCATCCACCCATCCATGCATCCATGCATCCATCCATGCATCCATCTATGCATCCACCCATCCATCCATCCATGCATCCATGCATCCACCCATCCATCCATCCATCCACCCATCCATCCATGCATCCACCCATGCATCCACCCATGTATCCATCCATGCATGCATCCATCCATCCATCCATCCATCCACCCATCCATGCATCCATTCATCCATGCATCCACCCATCCATCCACCCATCCATGCACCCACCCATCCATGCATCCATCCATCCATCCACCCATCCATGCATCCACCCATCCATGCATCCACCCATCCATGCATTCTTCATTAAATGTTGACCCAGAGAAAAGTTTCAGTGTCATTAGATAAAAGACTCCACAGAGCACTGTGGGGACAGAGAGGAGCCCTCAAGAAGGGCGCACAAGAGCTCTTTGAAGCAGGCTCAGAGTATGCGTTAGGTTCACCAGCAGAGGGACCAGCCTGGGCAAAGGCAGGGAGGTGGGAAGGAGCCTGGGATGTTTAAGTGGTAGCTGGTGTCACTGGCTATAGTGCTATACTCAGGGAAGGCTGAGGTGAGGGTGGGGTACGGTGTTGACTGGTGATCCTAGATGTCATCTGTGGGCAGCAGGTAGCCACTGGGGAGGGTCTTTATGCAAGGAGAGACATGATCAGACAGGGGTTTGTTTGGTGAAGACCATCTGGCAGGGGTCACTGAGACAGAGAGAGCAGAATTCTCCAGGGGCAGTGGAGAAGGGGGAGGCAGAAGGCAGGGGGTTCCCAGTTCGGTGGCCAGGCTGTGCCCACTGGTCCCCAGTCCCTCACACTCACCATGGATCCCAATCATGTGCTCCAGGATGAGCACCCTCTCCGCCAGGATCTTCAGGGCCTCCCGCAGCTGCTGTACCCCCTCGCCCTGGCAGTGGGAGACGGGCTGGGTCAGAGGCAGCTTCAGTGATGGACTGGGATCATCCTGCCACCCAGTACCTGCTGTTAACTGTCACTGTGTCACCATCGTCACTACAAGCACATCTCCTATGGGCAGGGCCCAGTAAGGTCTGGGTCAAGTGCTGCTAACAGACAAGCAGCCTGCAGTGCGGGGACAATACCAATGTGCCTGCAAGTGGCCAAACTGGGCTTCAAGCTCAGACCTGTTAGCTTTGAGCCGGGTTTTCTCTTCAATCATAGCCACTTGCCAGCTCCGCCTGCATGCCCTTCTTCCCAGAAGGCACTTTAATGGGGGCAGAGCATGGCGCACAAGGTCCTGCAGGTGGCGGTGTTTCATTTGTTTCCTCCTGGCACCTGGTCATGCCAGGCTGACGACACTCATCTTGGCTAGGAAGGCAGGGTGCTGATGGCTACATTTGGGGGACCCAGTTTACACCGTGACAGAGAAGACCTCGTGCAGTGAGACCCAGCTGACACAGGGTGCTGATGTATTGAGAAGACAGATGCCAAGACCACTTTGAAAAGAAAATGGTGAAGACACAAGATGACTGTAGCAGCCCAGGGGCCAGGCATCAGCACCCAAACCGGTGCTTTTGGTTGGCATGACATGCCAGACCTATCAGTCTAGATTAAATTAGCCACTCCTCAGAAACCCTACATCGTCGGAACCGACCGACGGCACGTAACAGCAACAATAAATATTTTACTATGGATCAACTTCTGAATGCCTGAAGAAGACGGTGGTACTTATAAATGTGACCTTGTTTGGAAATAGGGTCTTTGAAGATGTTATCTGTCAACATGAGGTCACAATGGAGTAGGTGGTGGTGTGCCGTGGAGTTGGTTCCGACTCACTGTGACCCTGTCAGGAGAAATGAAGCCAGGAGGAATGGGGCCAGGAAGGTTCCCAAGGCTGTAAATCTTTAGGAGATCAGAAAGCCTCATCTTTCTCCCACTGGTAGTTTCGAACTGCTGACCTTGAGGTTAGCAGCCCTACACATAACAACTATGCTACCAGCGCTTCTTTTACACTGGAGTAGGGAGGGTCCTAATCCCATCTGAGTGGTGTCCTTATGAAAGGGAAGATGGCAGCAGACTGGGATGCTGGAAGTCACCCAGGAAGGAGACAAGGAACAAACTCATCCTCACAATCAATACAGCCGACACTCTGATCTCAAACTCGCAGCTCCCAGAACTATGAGGCAATGATTGTCTATGCTTACAATCCACCCAGCACGTGGGGCTTTGTTACATCTGCCCTAGAACACACATGCACACACTAAATGGCTCCTTGGGACATTACCTCAGTGGTCTTCTCTCCTTCCTCCCCCTTCACACCAGGTTCTCCCTAGGAAGCAAAATCATGGGTCAACGCCCCCTGCAGAGTTAGGATGCATCTCTATCCTCTTTAGTGTCTCAGCAGGGCCTGGGAACCAGACACTGGGGGTCCAGGCTGGGGTGGGCTCTTGGCCTGGACTTGCAGCCATGACCTGGGGAGGTGCCTTTAAGTACTTCGCTTTCTGTACTTAGTTTCCTGAGGCTGGGGGTGTCCAGGCTTGGAACTCGAAAGCTTACATCTTGGATCTTTGAGGAAGAGGCTCACAGCTTCTTACGGTACCTTTCCTGTCTCTAATCTGGAGGTGGTAATATCAGGTGTAATGATGTAGGGTACGCATTGGACTGTTAACCACAAGGTCGGTGGTTCAAACCCGCCAGTCGTTCCTCAGAAACCCTATACAGGGTAGGTATGAGCCAGAACTGACTCGATGACACTTAAAACAACAAGTATCAGAGCACTGGTGGTGCAATGGTTAAGCACTTGGTTGCTAACTGAAAGGTCGACACTTTTATCCCACCAGCAACTCCGAGAGCAAAGGTCTGTCCATCCGCTGCCCTGGAGAGCTGTTGTAGCTAAGTGTTGTCTGGCCGGTTCTGACTCATAGCCACCTGTGCGGGGTTTCCAAGGCAGCAAATCTTGGCAGGAGCAGAGCGCTTCATCTGGTAGATTCGAACTACCTACCTTCTAGTTTGCAGTCTACTGCTTATCATGCCGAGTCACCAAGCTCCTCCCCTAAAGATTACAGCCTAGGAAACTGTAGGGGGCATTTCTGCTCTGTCCTTTAGGATTGCAATGAGTCGGAATCAACTTCACAGCACCTCACAATGCCATCTCTGTGACTCGCTCTACTGTGTGACCTGGAGCAAGTCACTTCGCTCTCTGTACTTCATTTCCTCTAAAATGGGGGTAATAATATTACCTCCCTCCTAGAGTTATTTGGAAGACTAAGTAAATCAACGTTGACAAGAATCGAACTTGGTGCCCCTCAAAGGCAGCTTTGGAACTGACTTGGTGGGTGCTGTAAAACTTTGGTGGCGTCCCTCAAAGGCAGCTTTGGAACAGTGTTGGTGGGTGCTGTAAAACTTCTCGATGGAGTATCCCTATGGTGGCTAGCACACAGTTCCCTCTGCCCCTTCCCTATGCCCACTGCCCAGGGCAGCAGTTGAAAGCAAAGTCTTGCTTCTAAGAAGGGCAATCAGAGGCCAGCATGTCTAAGCTTCCTATTTCCGGGAGGTTCAGAGAAGGGAAGGCAATTCTAGGTCACACAGAGAATGATATGGTTGATTCAGGGGCTCGGGCAGTGGTGGAGGACCCAGGACACAGGTAAGCAAAGAGGCTTTGATTCTGTAGGAATGGGCTGTAGGGGTAGGAGACAGGCACATGCCACCCAACCCTAGAAGCCAAATCTTTGATGTGAAATGATTCACTGTAGAGTCCAAGTAAGCCTGTGCTTACCTTGATTATTAGATAATTTGTTCCAGGGTCATACACGACACTGACTCGGCTTTGGGTCCCATAGGACAGACCCAGGGTCCAGGGGTCACACAGAACACGGACCCAGAGGTCTGGGGTTACACAGGACACTGACCCAGGGGCCTAGGGTCACACAGGACACTGGCCCAGAGGTCTGGGGTCACACAAGACATTGACCCAGGGGCCCGGGGTCACACAGAACATTGAACCAGGGGCCCAGGGTCACACAGGACATTGACCCAGGGGCCCAGGGTCACACAGGACACTGACGCAGGGGCCCAGGGTCACACATGGAGTTGCCCCAGGGGCCCGGGGTCACACAGGACACTGACCCAGGGGCCCAGGGTCACACATGGAGTTGCCCAGGGGCCTGGGGTCACACGGGACACTGACCCAGGGGCCCAGGGTCACATAGGACACTGACCCAGGGACCCAAGATCACACATGGAGTTGCCCTAGGGGCTCAGTCTCTCTAGAGGAGATGACAGGACTCATCCTAGCCTTCTGTCCCCTTTAACGCCCCTAAATGAAAGCTAAGTCAGACCTTTCCTATACACCCCCAGTGAGGAGCCCCTCTTCCTAGGTCATCCCTTTTCAGTATGGGCAGTTTGGTCTCTACTCTGGCTGCCCCTTCCCCTTCCTCCATCCCATCTTGACTAGGGTAGGTAAGGTCAGGCTGCCCAGGGCGGGCTCCCACCCAGTGTCCTGGGCCCTCTCTCGCCAGAGCCCACTGTCCCACAGAAGGAGTGGCCCTGGCGCCGAGGCCCATCTGCACAGACCCACACTTACAGATGGCCCTGCCATGTCCCGCTCTCCAGTCAGGACCTGCAGAAAATCAGAGAAAGCTGCTCAGGCCCTGCCCACCCTTGCCCAGCTCCTTGGCTCCCTCCTCACAGAACTTTGGGGCTAAAAGACAGGATGTGAGGAGGACGGTGTGGAGGAAACCCAGAGTAGGGGGTGGGAGCTCCACTGGTTGGTGTATGATCTTGGGCTCAGGTGAGCCCTTGGTCTTTTCATCTGCGAATTGGGGAAACATGGAGTTCAACTATTACAGGGTGAAGAAGAGCAAAGCATACATTCCCCAGCGATGGGAGGAGGACCCTGAGAGAATGAGCCATGTTAATGACGGTCGTAATGGTCCCTTAGAGGGTGCTGGTGCCCACCCTAGATAGCACCTAGAGCTCCAGAACCGAGTGTCCCAGTGCTTCTAACTTCTCCACTCTACTCACCAAGAGGCACTCCACCTGTGCAAAGTGGAATGCTTGGTTCTCCCTCAATTCTGACCCCATGGGCTTTCCTTCTCAGGAAATGGCTCCAGGATCCCCCGAGGAGTCTGGCACCTGGGAGTTAAGCTTGTGCTTCCCTTTTCCATTGGCTAGAGCTGTCAACTCCACTTCCAAATGATGCCCATTCACCTGCCCATTTCTACTACTAAGTCATCGTCTCATCTCCCTCGCCTTCCTCATGAGCTCCCCCTGGTCTTCCCCCTCCCACGTCTTTCATTCTCCCAGAACAATCAGAGGGACCTCCCTCCATGAAACTCAGTGAGCTCCTGCCCATGACGACAAAAAAAATCCACACTTTGACCCCTCTCCTCCCACTCCTCAACCTCATCTTAGCTCCTGCCTCAGGACCTTTGCACCTGCTTTTCCCTCTATCTAGAATGCTTTCAGGCCAAGGGAAAGGTCTCATCTGCTCCTGGACAGGTAAGCTGTGGGTCTAGGTCCACAGCCTCCAGGCTCCTGAGACCAGTCACAGGCTGGGAGAAGGCCAGGAGGTGGGAGAAACAGAAGGTCAGTGACTGAGGTGAAAGGAAGGGCCAAGAGAAGGCAGTGGCAGAGGTTCCGGTGGGGTGGGGTGAGGGACACAGCGAGGCCAGAGGACGTGGCAGGACAGGACAGTTATCTGGCCTCTTCGTTGCTGGCTCCCCACTTCTCAGCTCTTTCCTCCCCGCAGGCTGGACATGTGTGGCCCCCACAAAAGCTAGGGCAGGAGGGAAAGGAGGGTGAGAGCTGGGGGCAGCTGTTGAGTCTACAACTGACAGGGAAGGTCAGGGGCCAGAGCCAGTCCTCCTGCCCAGTAGCCTCAACTGAACTGAAGTCCACCCTGTGCTCTGGGTCCAGGCACGTCCACCATGAGAGACCCTGACCTTCCTCTCTGCACCAAGTCCCTAGTCCCATGTCTAGGTCTGTGACTGATTCTCCAGGCACCCCACTCGGCAGTGAATATTGATGAACAAACTTGTGGGACCTCACAGGTGGGCACCTCTCTTTCTGCCTCTCTGCGCCTCTCTGCTCTGCTCTGCCGCGCTATCTGCTGTGGATGTCAGCCCCCACCTCTCAGGCCTCTCCAGGACTGTCTGACATTCCACCTCCCGTCATAGTCCCACTCTTTGGGTCTCCGTTAACTCATCCATGAAATGGGAATGACGCTAACCACTCCCTCAGTCGGGCACACGTAGAGTAGGCCGTAAGGGGAGGCTGCTGCTGATAAGAAACCCAAAATCTGACCACAGGGGCTGGGGGCCAGTAGCTGCTTCCTCTCTGAGACAACCACAGTGGTGAGGGGTCTGGCTTCACCCTTTCTGAGGAGACAATGCCCCCATCTTTCCTGGCCCCCACCTCTCCTGGCCTTATCCCTCCTGGTCAGAAATAAGAAAGTCCTCACCTGGGATCCGGGAGCACCTGGGGGTCCTGGAGGCCCATGTGGTCCGGGGGGCCCTGTCGGGATAGTCACAGATGGTCATCTAGGGCTGGAGATGCCCACTTACCCCCATCGTCTTGGGAGACAGACCCCTACCCATCCCTCTGCTCCAGGATTTGCTCCACAGAGAGCAGGAGGGGTACACTGTCCCCAGGCCACATCTCTACCCCCTGACTCTCCACTTGAGCCACCCCCTGGACATTCCTCCTGTGACCACACCTGGGAGACTAAGGATGGTGTCAGCCTGGACTCTTTCCTCCCACCCGAACAAGCCACGTCTATCTCCCCAGGTCTGTTCCTCATCAGAGCCTGAGACCTGACCCCTCAAAGGCCACCCACCTTGCCTGGGCCAGGACAGCAGCTTTCTGACCATCACTTCCATGTGGCCGGCCACACAAAGTGAGCCATGCAAATCTAGCCAGGTCCCTCTCAGGACCCTTGAGGCCGTCAGCCTGTGTCCCCCCACCCCTCACTGCACTGGCCACCTTACCCAACAAGCCCTGTCCAGCTAGTTTTACACTGAGTATCACTTCCTCCAGGAAGATTCTGGCATCCCTTACCACCAGCCCCTGTGAGTCTGAATGTCTGTCTCCCCCACATTTGGGGGTGTCAGAGGGGTAGTAGACTGGTTCTGAGTGGAAGAGGTTTCTGTCCCCAGTGGCCCCTGCACCTCCTGAGCCAGAACCCCCCGTGTGAGGCCCCTGTACCCTCAGGAAAGGGGACAGCAGGGCTAGGATTTGGCTCAATCCGGTAAAAAAAAAAACAAACCCAAGAGCTCTGAGGCCACAGCAAATTTCTAGAAGTTCCCAGATGGCTCTTGCTCATTCCTCACTTGCTTTGAGTCTGTACAAATTCACCTGGCCCCAGCAGGACACTTGCCCATGTTGCTTCACTGACCAGGCCCCCATTTCTCCTGGAATTGACTTGTGTAGGGGTTGTTAGACAGTACACGCCACAAAGACAGGGATCCTTGCCTTGAGACCAAAGTCTCTAGGAAGCTAGAGACCAAAGTCTCTAGGAAGCTGGAGCCCTGCCCAGCACACAGGCCTCGGTACATCTCTCCAATCCGCCACAGAAGTGAATGCCAGGGAAGGAGTCAGGCATGTTGCCAGCTGGCTCCTGGCCCCTGTGGCTCACTCATTCATTGGTAGCACACCATCAGGTGTGACATCCACACAGCTGGGTGGGCATTCAACCAGTCACACTCTCTTCCTCCTCCCCCACTGAGGCTCCCAGGAGACAAGGGCCACATCAGGAAGCCTCGGTCTTGCTGGCTGGGGCCTCCTTGCCTGTCATTGGACCTCCTGGTTCCCAGGGGCCCCTGTGCTGACCCTGTGCCTCTTCCTTGGCCTGGGCCCCATGTGCCCCAGTACTTTCCTACTCTGGCTCACTGGGGTCACTTTATGTGGACACTGGGCCCAAGAACCACAGCCAGGGGCTCCCATCTTCCTCAAGGCCCCTGAGGGCCTAGAATGCTGACCTCTTCCTTACCTGGTGGCCCGGGGGGCCCCCGGGGCCCCGGGATGCCCGCCAACACCGTGTCCACAACGGTTGAGGCCAGCTGGGAGTCTCCCCCTGTGGGCAGAGGAGAGTGACCTGCCTCAGGACCACCATGGGCGGGCCCCTTTGAGTCTTCAGCCAGCAGACACTCGCCCCCACGGCTCAGGAGAGCACACTCAGCCCATCAGAGGACAGATGCCAGGCCCACTGAACATGGACAGCTGGACACCCTCCCTGGGGCTCACCCCACAGGCCCATCCTGACGCCCCTCCCTGCCCACCTCTAGCTGCAGGGCCTTAGGCTGTCTCCATCATGATGAGTGACCACACTGCCCAGGGTCAGGGATCTCTCCCGGCCTGGGACCCTCATGTGATTTCCTTCTGTCCCCTCCTCAGAGCCTAGAGTCAAGGCCCAGAAAATGTCTGCCCCACCCACAGAAACCCACCCCTGGACCACTCCGGATCCTGGACCAGCACACTCCCAGACTCTCCCCTTTCCCTGGTTCAGGTTCCTGGAACCCCCATTCCTAGAACCCCTACCCTCATCCTAGGACCACCCCTGGCCCACAAGAATGTGAGGTTGAGGGTCCCATCTGAGGAGGTCTTGAGTCCCCTCCCTGTCATGTGGGCTGGAGCCCTCAGATGGCTTCTGGTGGTCCAGGGAGGGGGACACTGACCATGAGACAAGGGTCATTTGTGCTCTCCCTCCACAGCAGTGGTGAGAACTGCCCACTGCACAGCTGAGGACCAGAGTCCACACACAGAGAATTAACTTCCTCCAGAAAACTCACGAGAGTAGGACCCGCCCCAAGGTCCCCTACTCCGATGGCCAAGTGTACTCATTTCGGCAGCCCCGAGACTCCACCCACTCAAATGAGACCCTCCTGGTGGAGGCATCGGCTCAGGGCTACATCTTTAACTCCCAGGGGAATTCTATCAGGAATGGAGAAACTGAGGCTCAGAGAGGGGCCATGGGTTCAGCTCTCAGTCTGGCTGTGCTGTGGGGGAGGGACAGAAGCCCCCAGGGGTCAGGATCTGTGACAACTGAGGAAGGAAGGGTCCCAGGCCTGAGCATTCCCATCAGAGAGCTGACCAGGTCTGCAGAATCGACCCGCCCCACCCAGTGGGCAGAGTGTGGTCAGGGTGAAGTCAGGCCCACTCAAGACCCCACTCCCCAACAGTGAAGAGACTGTGGCCCCTCTGCCTTGCAGCTTCCTGGATCTTCCTGCTGCGTCCAGGCTGGCACCAACCTCTTGGTGCCCGCTGCCACCTCCACAGGGCCCCTCCTGGGCACCGGGGGCCCAGCACGCAGCACGGAGCTTGACTGAAGTCTGTAGGTCTGGATGCCTCTCTTCCTAGGACTTAGTCCACTCCACTACCCTCCTCTTGCCACCTTGTCCCGTTTCCCAGGGCAGCTAACCAAATCAAGGCTGTCACGCTCCTTGCTGGGTGCCACCCTCCACCCCTGTTGTCCCCAGTGCCCCACCCCACAGCCATCCCTGCTGGCCTTCTGGAGGCCCAGCAGGTCCGCGGTGGCTTGTGTTCTGCTGACTACTGTGCCCAGGATGTGTCTGATCCCTAGCAGAGGCAACCAGCTTTGAGGCCAAGAGTCTGCCCCTCAGAAACCTCACTCCCACTTTCTGGGCGGGCTCAGCTTCCTTCTGGGTCCTGCCCACCGACCCCCTCAAGTGCATACTCACCTTCTCTGTCCGTGGGTGGCTGCAGGGAGTACAGAGCGCCTTGGGGGCCGCTGGTGGAGGGGCCCGGGCTGCCTGCTGGGCCAGGTGGCCCGGGAGGCCCAGGGCGCCCCATCTCTCCAGGAAGTCCACGGGGCCCTGGGGGCCCCAAGAACCCTGCAAGTGGGAGTAAATGAGTTTCAACATGGGGCAGGTGGGAGCACAAGCCCTGAAGGTCAGTGGGACCACGGACCAGAATGCAACTGAAATGCCTTCCCTTCCCTGTTCAGTCCAGTAGGAATGTGGGAGTGGGGGGTGGGAAGTGAGAAAGGCCACCTGCCCCACCCACAGAAGCTCTGAAGAGCAGCACCCTTCAGTCTCTCCCAGGGACCTGAGTTTTTGACCAGGGGTCACTTCCTATATGATCCAGGAAGAGCTGAGGAAGGGGACCTGGAAAACCTCCTAGCCCCTGGCCAGCCCCATGCCCACAACGGCACCCATAGCTCCTCAAGGCCCCTCTCTCCTGGGATCCTCTGGAACCCTCCGAGGCCATGAGGTGGGAGATGGGATGTCCCTTTGTGACCCTGGGTGGTGGGAGGATCTCTAACAGAGCGGTTGGATACCAGTGAGATCAGGGGTGTAGGGTTGCTTCACCTGCTAGAGTGGGGGAAAGCCCGGGTGATCTTCCCTTTCCCCCCTGCAGGGATGAAGCCCTGTCCTTACCTGGAGGCCCTGCAGGGCCCTTCTCTCCTGTCTGGCCCCTGTCACCTTTGGAGCCTGGGGGACCTGCAGGCCCTGGTGGTCCCGTCTGTCCCGGGGGCCCTGCCGAGGGAAAGAATGAAGGTCCAACCTGGGCCGAGTTGTTCACCTGGCCACCTGGGCTGTCTGGTTGACCTTCCCAGGAGACTCATCCACTTGGGACCCCACCCAAACTGGCAAAGGCCCCATCAACCCTTTGTATTCGACATCATAGTGTACAAGCTGTTTTTATATTAAATTTCTCTTTTTTTTCCCCCTTTGCAAGGATGTCGAGACTTTACTTTACATACTTTGGACATCTTGTTATGATGGAGAAATCCCCAGAGGAGAACATTAAGCTTGGTAAAATGGAGGGTCAGTGAAGACCCTTGACGAGATTGGTTACCACAGTAACAATAAAAGGGTTCCAACAGTAATGGCTGTGAGGATGATGCAGGTGTGGGCAGCGCTGCATTCTGTCGTGTACGT